CTTTTAGACTATATAGAACACTCTCAACAAAGAATTAATGTCTAACTTTTTCTGTTAACTTGAGTTAAAGAGATGATTATGTAAATACTGGTTAATAATTTTGGTCAAAACCAATATTATTGGTTTCATATACAAGTTTATTATTGGTGAACAATAGTCAAATAGCTTCTTATTAACTGTTAAGGGAACTTCTCTAAAACTTTGCCCATATTTAATGTTGCTTAAAGGGATAGTTCACCCTGTCAAATTCTGTCATTTACTCACCCTCATGAACTGCTGAACACAAAAGAGGAATATGGGTAATCAAACAGCTAATGGGCCCCACTGACTTCCATTGTATGGAACCAAAAAAAAAAAAAATTAAGGGTGCCCCTTCAACTTTTTGGTTACCAACATTCTTCAAAATATCTTTTGTGTTTAGCTGAAGAAATAAATGCATACAGGTTTGGAACAACTTAAGGGTGAATTGATGATGATGAAATGTCAATGACAGAATAAATGATGGCACAATTTTAATTTTTGGGTGAACTATCCCTTTAACTTCATAATAACAATTAACCTTACATTTAAATTTAGCCTCAAAAGTGGGGACTAGTGATTGTGTTGTCCTTCACAATCGACTGAGACTCTGTGTTAGCATAGAACGTCCACTACGTTAAGTATGGATTCAAATCCAGCCCTACATTTTTTTTTTTTTCTTGTTGAATGTTCTTGGTAATACATTATGTAGTATTTCATGTTGACTTTAAACCATTACCATTAATTGGCTTTTAGAGTAAAAGTCTTATGCTTTATTTTCTTTCAGTATTTTGAAGTGTACAATTTGTTTCAGTGCATGTGACCTTTGTTCAGTTTACACAGTTTTTATGTCGCATCTTAGTTCTTAATTTATTTTGAGTTTGAGGGTGTATATATATATATATCCGAGTCCTGTCAGGTTGTGATTAGTTTTCTCCATTTCGATGAACGTTCTTTGAGTCTGTCGTTCTTTCTTTCCACTCTCTCACTCCTCACTTTTTCCTCCCTCTCTCGCTTGTCCTCTGGCTGCTGGCTGCTCTGTTCACAGGAGTTTATGGGGACGTGCAGCGTGTGAAGATTCTTTTTAATAAGAAAGACAGCGCACTGATACAGATGGCTGATATGAACCAGGCTCAGCTTGGTAAGATGCACACTGAAACATCCTTAACAGCACAACATTTATTGTCACGGCTAAGTTTACACGCAGCCAAGTTGCATTCAGGCTTTAAAGATGATGTCAAATCAAAATAGACGATTTCATAAATAGATTTCATTTCATTCAGAATGAATGTCGTTGGTTTGATTGTGCAGGATTCATTCAAAATGAAAAAAAAAAAAAAAAATCATCAAAATCTAATAAAGGCAGTGTGGGCGGGGCACAATAATATTAACCAATAATAAAAACATCTGAAAAACACTCAAATCCTGATGGATGGAATTTGGCCCCGTCCATATTATTTACCTGTGAATTTCACTCACATTCCAGAAGTTAAATGTTTGTGAATGCTTTTAAAAATGTGCATTATGTTTATACATTTGGTGGGTGTTTATATAATGTTTGGGGCCAGTAAGATTTTTATATAAATTAATACGGATCACGTGACAGTTGCTACGTTTAAATGGACATCTTTTCTTTCAATCATAATGAATTAAATACGATTGATGAATGCACATGTGTGAGCATAAAGTGATCGCGTTGATGTGTGCGTTTGTCACAAGCTTCCAATCAGAATAGATTTTTTGATGTGCACATTGAACAAATATACAGTTTCCCGCTGTTTGCGCATACCAACCATTCACCTATATTGCTTCTTTTCTTCGCTTTAAAGAATAGATATTTGTTTATTTCGGGTCCTAATTGGGAGACGACAAGCACATACTGCTTTTATTTATCAAGCACCTAAAACAAAATGAGAGTCTGAAACAAGAACTGGTGGGACGTCGTCCTACTCCACAGACGAGTGGAAGGGAAATTTTAGATTTATGACCCTTCATTCGACAACAACAACACGCGTCATTTGTCAGTATGCCAATCTCTAGATCATTGCGCATGCCCAGTACTTTTCAGTTTTGGTTTTCAATCTGATCAAGTGTGCGATTTTTTTTCTTTTATTTTATTTTATTCTGACTGTAGTCCGATTCCAATCGGATTTCTAGGGTCCATGTAAATGCAGCTACTGGAGAATTGGCTGCTGAAAATTGAGTTTTTCCATCACCAAAATAAATTACATTTAGGCCCTGTCTACACTTGGTGTTATGTCGCAGTGCTTCACACCGCCACCTAGCCGCCTGGAGTGCATACTACATCGAATTTCACACACTTTTGCGTCACCATATGCACGCGGATTTCCTACCCTAAACGCAGAATAAAAAGTGATAACACAACGCCACTTTTGCATTTTCTCTTTAGAATCGTTTCCATGTAAACCGCCTTGATTTTTTTTTTAAATAGAGAACATAAAAAAATCATACCGACCCCAAACGGTAGTGGATTTTGTCTGCATTTTAGGCCATGATTCTCCACGTCTTTCTCATTTCTCTTTGCTTGTGCCTCAGCTATGAGCCATCTAAACGGTCAGAAGATGTACTCAAAGATCATTCGCGTCACGATGTCGAAGCATCAGACCGTTCAGTTACCGAGAGATGGTTTAGATGACCAGGGTCTCACAAAAGACTTCACAAACTCACCACTGCACCGTTTCAAAAAGCCCGGCTCCAAGAACTTTCAGAACATCTTCCCTCCTTCCGGCACACTGCATCTGTCAAACATCCCGTGAGTAAAAGTGCTATTCGCCACTTGTCAATCTTTGTGTCAGTTTTCTGAAGTCATTTTTCTGTCATGTTTTGAAGGCAAGACATAAATGAAGAAGACATCAGGGTCCTGTTCACAAATTCGGGTGGCACTGTGAAAGCTTTCAAGTTTTTCCAGTAAGTGTGTCGCCATTTAGCTCTTTAGCGCCTTTCCCTTCTCCCGTGACCGTTTTTGCCGTGCTTTTTCTCGACAGAGATCACAAAATGGCCCTAATTCAGATGACAACCGTCGAAGAAGCTATTCAATGCCTGATCGACCTTCACAATTACAACATGGGTAATAACCACCACTTGAAGGTGTCCTTCTCCAAATCAACCATCTAAAGGAACCCGAAAGGTCTTGCTCCCAACTTCTTTTCTGGCGTTACCTGTTGACTGTTTTAATACACTGGGGACCACGATTTTGAGTTTCCTCTCCCAAGTTTCATTCCTCAAGATGATGTTGTAAGAAGGAAATATTGTGACTATTTTTTTTTTTTTACCCCGTTTCCCTCTTACTGGCGCTTCAGTGGCGGAAGGGTGTCGTGATGTAAAGGCTGAACCTCTTATAATAAGCAGAAAAGAATGTGCCTTACAAAACTTACATAGATCTTTTCATACTTCATTTTTCTCAAACCCAGGCAGTCCTCTGCGCGTGAGATATTACACTAAGTTTTGTTTAGACAAATTTTTCCTTTCGTGTCTGTATAGTAGTGTGTAAAAGCCTTTTGAAATTTTTCTTTTTTTGCAATTTATGTTTGTTTAATTCTTAATGGCTGTGATGGTTTGGTTTCAGAATTGTAAATAAACCTGTGATTCTCTAGTGTTCATCACTGAGATCATGTCAGGCCCGCTCTTAACTCGCCAATCCAGCCAAACCTCACGTTATTGATGGGAAATCATTATTCCTAGTGTCGCATGGACTGGAAATCACTCCTTTGTGTGATTTTAGAAAGACAACTACAGTAGAAGGGACCAAAGTTTCTGTGCCTATAGTCTTAATTTACTCCATGATTGAGCAGTTTACTGCGGAGAGGACAGGCTTATGAGAAAGGTTGAGAAAATAAAAATTGAATGTCAATCCACACTGATATTTTTAGAGGGACAAAAGGATCTTGTGTATTTTTTTTTTTTTTTTTTACATTCGTAGAAATGTATTATTCGGCATAATTTGGATGTGGCTCAATTAAAAGATTTTTTTTTTAACAAAAGCGGGGAGATTGACTTTGTTGTGATTTGATTTATCTTTTTCCTTCCTATTTTCTGCTTTTATCCGTAGCATGCTCAATAAACACTTGCGTAGTTCTGCGTTCACTCTCTCTCTGTCTATCTTCCGCCTCACTCATGTCCTGTTTGTTCACTACGTTTATGGTTCTGACATCTTGTTCTCTTCCAGGGTGGGAAAAACTTCATGGAGTTTGAAGTCACAGTGCTTTTGGCAAAACAGATTTGGACAAATATATTTGTTTGGCAGCATCAGTGATAAAAAAAAAATTCCCACCCTGTAAATCCTTTTCGCTTTGCCTTTTAGTTGATCACTTCAGTTGACACTTGATTCTGCATCACATGTTCATATGCTCCTGCCCTTCCACTATTAAAAACAATGATCCTTACAGTGAAGGTGTCATGAGGTTGAAGGATGAACCCAATAGCTGACAGTATGAAACTCTTAACAAGTTTATTGACAATGAAAACAGAAAAAAAAACAAAACCCATGACGGGGCAAAACAAGACAGGATAGCATACACTAGACTAAGACGATAAACTAACAGCTAGAAATACACTTCTTACAAGACAAGACGATCAACAGGTAATTTACAGCTTAATTCTCACAAAGTTAGACACGGTGAGATAATTGACACAGGACAGCAAACACAAGGGGATAAAATAAGGAGAAACTATTGAGGGGAACGGGTGACGCTAATTAGGCAATAATGACAGGACGAGGTTAACAAGGGGGCGGGGTATGAAACGAGACAACATGTGCTTGTACACAAAACATGGGTCTGCCATGATCCTGCCACAAGACCAGGAAAAATCTAAGACATGATGGCAGAATCATGACAGAAGGTCTCAGCAATCGCATGACCTTTTTTCTTTTAAAGTGGTCTGAATTTGATGCTTTTATTTTAACCTGTAATTTTGCATGCACCTTTAAAACAATCCATGACCTCCATTTTTTTTGCAGGATGTTTTTTGATCTGACTGATCTCTTTGTTTTCAGTTTTCATGTTCTGTAATATTATTCTTGTTACACCAAGCAATTCATAACTACCTCAATTTTGATATTGAGCGGTGGACCAAGTGTTCAAAGGATTTTTTTGTCTTTTGACAAAAAAATTCGCTCAGTTTGTGTTGTTTGTCTGTTGTTCTGGTTCAGATCCATTTTTAAGTAGTTTTTCATCATTCAGGATGTGATGTCATACATAATGTGCAGTGTTCAAATTCACTCATTTATAAAATATGGTGTTTGCTACACAAAAGTAAAGGTTCTTTATTGGCATCTATGGTTCCATGAAGAACGTTTAATCTTGGCTTCTTTATAGTGGTTCTTCAGATTATTAAAATGTTCTTCACACTAAGAAAAAAAAGTCTCTTCTATGGAGTCACTGCGAAAATCCTCCTTTTGGAACATTTATTTTTAAGAGTATACATTTATTATATTATATATATAATGAATAGCGATTTAATGATTTCGTACACAGCTTGTACATTAATATATGAGTAAAAACACAGTAATGCTTCATTGCTTATGCTTTATTGTGCATCATTATGAAATCTCGGGGTGAGATATCATAATGGACTGGAGTGGAGGCAAAATTTTCTACAAACCCTTTCCACATGAATAGTTATATAATAGTGTTTCATTGCATCATGCTGATGCAAAAGACCGGATTTGAAAAACAAGCCAGCGTTGCATGCAATAAAACCTAATGTATGTTTTCCTTTTATATTTCATCAAGTTTGAAGGTGCTATGTCTTAAACCGTATTCACACAGGCCCGAAATGTCTTTTCTTTGCCTAAAACAAAGGTTTTCTAACTCCCCCCTCCAGCATTCCTTCATTTCACCGCTTGTGCCGTTATTGAGTCTCTGTTGGATGGTCGTCCTGTGATGGACGTCCTGTCTTGCCTTGTCTGATGAAGACAATCCTCTAGCCTGTTTCAAAGTTGGGTTCCGGATGCTGCAATTCATCACAGGCCCAGACGGCAACGTTGCTCCACGCTGCTTTTATTTTGCACACTTAAATCGAAACACTCGTGTTCTCGATCTACCTTTATAAACAAAAATGACACAATAAATCAGTGCAGGGACCCAGACCAAATCAATACCTCGTCTGGAGCGTGAATCATGTGCTCCAGACATCTGTATCCACCCACCATTACGCTGGCACAGGGGAGGGAGGTGTTCTTCTCCACTAGCCTTTTGTTTTCCATATAAACCCTTCTTGAATAAAACCTTTGGTGAGGAGATTTACACCTGATGTCTTAATGTAGGACAAAGTTACGTGTCAATTAGCAGTTTTGCTCATTTACCACTTTTCTTTCAAGTTTTTCTAGGCTCTTTGCTAAACAGTGCTATATTCCTGATATATACTGTTGATATGCATTTCCGAATTGACGGTGAAAACTGTTTTTGTAAAAGATGGCTTTTTCGTTATGTATACCACTTTCACTATTTATACAGAAACCAGACCATATAGTGTAAAATCCATAAAACACTCTCCAACAATAATCAAAAACAGCACACTGTGCCATGCACACAGCTTTACTTTCCTTTCATTGTTGGTATTTAGTAGCCATTTTTCCATTATTCATCTTTTCCACATCTATTTTTAACTTATTTGACCAAAATGCTGCGTTGACATTTTTCCCACACAATTGTATTAAAAAAATTTATAATTCAGAATATTTTTGCATAATGTGTAATTCGTTTTTTATGTATTTTTTAAGTAGTAGAGTGTATACATGAGCAATATTACACAAGTTAAAGGGATAGTTCACTTTGAAATTAATGTTTGATATGTTTTAGCTTACCTCAAGGGCATCCAAGATGTAGGTGACTTTGTTTCCACAGTATTTTCAATTTTGACATTTTTAGGTCAAACTGTTGTTGTCTGTCAGTCATATAATGCAGGTATGGTCCCGAAAGGGCCGTCCCGGAATTCCACCGTCCGCGAACCCACTATTTTTATAATGTGATAAGTGCTACGTGGGATCTCAATATCTCAGCTCAGGAAGGGTCTAGAAACTCCTTTTCTGCACTCAGGTCTACGTCTCATGGCCCTCTATCTATCAGAATCCAGAGTTTCAAGAAGGGGTAACACTGTCGTTTTTTTGCGGGAGGCGAAATTTTTAGTTTCTCCAACCTTCTCAAAACTCTGAATTCTGATAGAGGGCCATGAGACTTAGACTTGAGTGCAAAAATGGAGTCTCTAGACCCTTCCTGAGCTGAGATATTGAGATCCCACGTAGCATTTATGCCATTATAAAAATAGTGGATTATTGGACAAATAGTGGGTTTGTGGACACGTGGTTTTTAAGCTTAGCTTTCAAAATGTTGTGATGAAAACCATTTTACTGCACTCAGGGAGGCCCCCTGAGTCTGTGGCACCAAGGGCCATCCCGACATTCCACTGTCCGTGAACCCACTATTTTTATAATGGGATAAGTGCTATGTGGGATCTCAATATCTCAGCTCAGGAAGGGTCTAGAGACTAAATTTTTGAACTCAGGTCTAAGTCTCATGGCCCTCTATGAGAATCCAGAGTTTTGAGAAGATTGGAGAACCTTAATTTTTTTTGCCCAAAAAAAAAAAAAAAAACGAAAGGGCTACCACTGTCGTTTTTTTTTTCGGGTCGAATTTTTGAATTTTGATATCTCAGCTCTGGAAGGGTCTAGAGCCTCCATTTTTGCACTCAGGTCAAAGTCTCACAGCCCTCTATCATAATCCAGAGTTTTGAGAAGATTGGAGAAACTTAGTTTTTCGGCCGAAAACAATAAAAACGAAAGGGGTAACACTGTCGTTTTTTTTTTTTGGGTCGAAATTTTGAATTTTGATATCTCAGCTCTGGAAAGGTCTAGAGCCTCCATTTCTGCACTCAGGTCAAAGTCTCACAGCCCTCTATCATAATCCAGAGTTTTGAGAAGATTGGAGAAACTAAATTTTTCGCCCGAAAATGAAAAAAAAAAAACGTAAGGGGTAACACTGTCGTTTTTTTTTTCTGGTCGAAATTTTGAATTTTGATATCTCAGCTCTGGAAGGGTCTAGAGCCTCCATTTTTGCTCTCAGGTCAAAGTCTCACAGCCCTCTATCATAATCCTGAGTTTTGAGAAGATTGGAGAAACTTAATTTTTCGCCCGAAAATGAAAAAAAACGTAAGGGGTAACACTGTCGTTTTTTTTTTCGGGTCGAAATTTTGAATTTTGATATCTCAGCTCTGGAAGGGTCTAGAGCCTCCATTTCTGCACTCAGGTCAAAGTCTCACAGCCCTCTATCATAATCCAGAGTTTTGAAAAGATTGGAGAAACTTAATTTTTCACCCGAAAATGAAAAAAAACGTAAGGGGTAACACTGTCGTTTTTTTTTCTGGTCGAAATTTTAAATTTTGATATCTCAGCTCTGGAAGGGTCTAGAGCCTCCATTTCTGCACTCAGGTCAAAGTCTCACAGCCCTCTATCATAATCCAGAGTTTTGAGAAGATTGGAGATACTTAATTTTTCGCCCGAAAATGAAAAAAAAACGAAAGGGGTAACACCGTCGTTTTTTTTTCGGGTCGAAATTTTGAATTTCGATATCTCAGCTCTGGAAGGGTCTAGAGCCTCCATTTCTGCACTCAGGTCAAAGTCTCACAGCCCTCTATCATAATCCAGAGTTTTGAGAAGATTGGAGAAACTTAATTTTTCGCCCGAAAATGAAAAAAAACGTAAGGGGTAACACTGTCGTTTTTTTTTCGGGTCCAAATTTTGAGTTTCGATATCTCAGCTCTGGAAGGGTCTAGAGCCTCCATTTTTGCACTCGGGTCAAAGTCTCACAGCCCTCTATCATAATCCAGAGTTTTGAGAAGATCGGAGAAACTCAATTTTTCGCCCGAAAATGAAAAAAAACGTAAGGGGTAACACTGTCGTTTTTTTTTTCGGGTCCAAATTTTGAGTTTCGATATCTCAGCTCTGGAAGGGTCTAGAGCCTCCATTTTTGCACTCGGGTCAAAGTCTCACAGCCCTCTATCATAATCCAGAGTTTTGAGAAGATCGGAGAAACTCAATTTTTCGCCCGAAAATGAAAAAAAACGTAAGGGGTAACACTGTCGTTTTTTTTTCGGGTCCAAATTTTGAGTTTCGATATCTCAGCTCTGGAAGGGTCTAGAGCCTCCATTTTTGCACTCGGGTCAAAGTCTCACAGCCCTCTATCATAATCCAGAGTTTTGAGAAGATCGGAGAAACTCAATTTTTCGCCCGAAAATGAAAAAAAACGTAAGGGGTAACACTGTCGTTTTTTTTTCGGGTCCAAATTTTGAGTTTCGATATCTCAGCTCTGGAAGGGTCTAGAGCCTCCATTTTTGCACTCGGGTCAAAGTCTCACAGCCCTCTATCATAATCCAGAGTTTTGAGAAGATCGGAGAAACTCAATTTTTCGCCCGAAAATGAAAAAAAACGTAAGGGGTAACACTGTCGTTTTTTTTTCGGGTCCAAATTTTGAGTTTCGATATCTCAGCTCTGGAAGGGTCTAGAGCCTCCATTTTTGCACTCGGGTCAAAGTCTCACAGCCCTCTATCATAATCCAGAGTTTTGAGAAGGTCGGAGAAACTCAATTTTTCGCCCGAAAATGAAAAAAAACGTAAGGGGTAACACTGTCGTTTTTTTTTCGGGTCCAAATTTTGAGTTTCGATATCTCAGCTCTGGAAGGGTCTAGAGCCTCCATTTTTGCACTCGGGTCAAAGTCTCACAGCCCTCTATCATAATCCAGAGTTTTGAGAAGATCGGAGAAACTCAATTTTTCGCCCGAAAATGAAAAAAAAACGTAAGGGGTAACACTGTCGTTTTTTTTTCGGGTCCAAATTTTGAGTTTCGATATCTCAGCTCTGGAAGGGTCTAGAGCCTCCATTTTTGCACTCGGGTCAAAGTCTCACAGCCCTCTATCATAATCCAGAGTTTTGAGAAGATCGGAGAAACTCAATTTTTCGCCCGAAAATGAAAAAAAACGTAAGGGGTAACACTGTCGTTTTTTTTTCGGGTCCAAATTTTGAGTTTCGATATCTCAGCTCTGGAAGGGTCTAGAGCCTCCATTTTTGCACTCGGGTCAAAGTCTCACAGCCCTCTATCATAATCCAGAGTTTTGAGAAGATCGGAGAAACTCAATTTTTCGCCCGAAAATGAAAAAAAAGTAAGGGGTAACACTGTCGTTTTTTTTTTCGGGTCCAAATTTTGAGTTTCGATATCTCAGCTCTGGAAGGGTCTAGAGCCTCCATTTTTGCACTCGGGTCAAAGTCTCACAGCCCTCTATCATAATCCAGAGTTTTGAGAAGATCGGAGAAACTCAATTTTTCGCCCGAAAATGAAAAAAAACGTAAGGGGTAACACTGTCGTTTTTTTTTCGGGTCCAAATTTTGAGTTTCGATATCTCAGCTCTGGAAGGGTCTAGAGCCTCCATTTTTGCACTCGGGTCAAAGTCTCACAGCCCTCTATCATAATCCAGAGTTTTGAGAAGATCGGAGAAACTCAATTTTTCGCCCGAAAATGAAAAAAAAGTAAGGGGTAACACTGTCGTTTTTTTTTCGGGTCCAAATTTTGAGTTTCGATATCTCAGCTCTGGAAGGGTCTAGAGCCTCCATTTTTGCACTCGGGTCAAAGTCTCACAGCCCTCTATCATAATCCAGAGTTTTGAGAAGATCGGAGAAACTCAATTTTTCGCCCGAAAATGAAAAAAAACGTAAGGGGTAACACTGTCGTTTTTTTTTCGGGTCCAAATTTTGAGTTTCGATATCTCAGCTCTGGAAGGGTCTAGAGCCTCCATTTTTGCACTCGGGTCAAAGTCTCACAGCCCTCTATCATAATCCAGAGTTTTGAGAAGATCGGAGAAACTCAATTTTTCGCCCGAAAATGAAAAAAAACGTAAGGGGTAACACTGTCGTTTTTTTTTCGGGTCCAAATTTTGAGTTTCGATATCTCAGCTCTGGAAGGGTCTAGAGCCTCCATTTTTGCACTCGGGTCAAAGTCTCACAGCCCTCTATCATAATCCAGAGTTTTGAGAAGATCGGAGAAACTCAATTTTTCGCCCGAAAATGAAAAAAAACGTAAGGGGTAACACTGTCGTTTTTTTTTTCGGGTCCAAATTTTGAGTTTCGATATCTCAGCTCTGGAAGGGTCTAGAGCCTCCATTTTTGCACTCGGGTCAAAGTCTCACAGCCCTCTATCATAATCCAGAGTTTTGAGAAGATCGGAGAAACTCAATTTTTCGCCCGAAAATGAAAAAAAACGTAAGGGGTAACACTGTCGTTTTTTTTTCGGGTCCAAATTTTGAGTTTCGATATCTCAGCTCTGGAAGGGTCTAGAGCCTCCATTTTTGCACTCGGGTCAAAGTCTCACAGCCCTCTATCATAATCCAGAGTTTTGAGAAGATCGGAGAAACTCAATTTTTCGCCCGAAAATGAAAAAAAACGTAAGGGGTAACACTGTCGTTTTTTTTTCGGGTCCAAATTTTGAGTTTCGATATCTCAGCTCTGGAAGGGTCTAGAGCCTCCATTTTTGCACTCGGGTCAAAGTCTCACAGCCCTCTATCATAATCCAGAGTTTTGAGAAGATCGGAGAAACTCAATTTTTCGCCCGAAAATGAAAAAAAACGTAAGGGGTAACACTGTCGTTTTTTTTCGGGTCCAAATTTTGAGTTTCGATATCTCAGCTCTGGAAGGGTCTAGAGCCTCCATTTTTGCACTCGGGTCAAAGTCTCACAGCCCTCTATCATAATCCAGAGTTTTGAGAAGATCGGAGAAACTCAATTTTTCGCCCGAAAATGAAAAAAAACGTAAGGGGTAACACTGTCGTTTTTTT